GCTGCAGACTGTCTAGAAACCAAATAAGCCTGGATAGTCGAACGCGTTACAGCACAGGCGTCACAGCTGAAAGGTTGATTGGATCGAAATCTCAATCTGATTTCTTATTATTTACCTGTTTTCTGTATCTTTCTTTATCTTCATGCCATTTAAGCTATTTATTTCGCAATTAACAAAAACATAAAACTATTGGCATGATTTATTTACAACAATTTAATAACAACAAATAATTTGTACAACAATTATTATTATTTAAAAAAAATAGGGTTAGGGTTAGGGTCACAATGCACCATAAAACAAAAGTTTCAGGCATGCGATTTGTAATGCAACCAATGGGATTTGGAGGTATGCAGAATGCAGAAGGTTGCTGAAATGATGTGTACGCAACTGCGTATCTGCATATCTGCGCCTAACAATTAAAGGTCTCACTACGCACGACTTAAATGTTACGTTTATAACCGTATCAACAGACCTCAGATGAGCCTAGACGCTCTGCGGCTCTTGTTGGAAGTGTTGTTTACATTGATATATATATGAGTATGCGTATAATGTAAATTGTAAAGTGTACACGTAAGCTGAATGTAAATTCAAAGGACACTTGGCCGGCTTGCCCATGTCATCTACCTAAATGGCTGATGCCTAAATTATGTCAATGAACTTTCACTATGCTTATGTATTAACTCTTATATTGCAGGTCTGGAGCATTGGTGCTACACGCGATATATCCTAACGTTTCACCCTAACTACAGCGGCCATACTACATGATCGCTGTGAGAACCAGAAAGGTTTGACGTGGAAAGGAGGCGAGCAAACGGGCGTTTCACAGCCGTAGAGTTACCATAGCGATACGATGGAGGTGCTGAGAGTGAAGCTCTTTACCGCGTTCGCACTGTTCGTGGTGGCGATCACGTGTGGCCTGCTTCCCATTAAGGTGATGGAGATGGTGGGACCCAACAGTGCGCAGCGTATTGTCTGCTTCTTGAACTGCCTGGCTGGAGGCATTTTCCTTGGCACCAGCCTGCTACACATGCTGCCCGAGGTGAGTTAATTCGAGAAGAAAGTGCTGCAGAGATGGCATTAGTAAGGCTTGCCATTTTGTCTTCTCTTAACAGCTTTCTTTGATGCTGACCTAATCTATCTCATCTGATCTGATTGGATCTGATCTTTCTTTCTTCTGGTGATACTTATCCAGGGCTCGAATTTCCCCAGTTGAGACTAAGTCCGTACGGATTTGTTCCTTCACAAATGAGCAAATCCGCTCAAAAATCTAAGTAATCCGTACAGGGTAGGCTAAATTTTACTATGAAAGAAAAATTGCATGCAGGACAAACTGTCCTGAATAAAATACCTTATAAAACTAATAATACCTATAAAGTTAACATTACTATTTGTCAGATAGTTGATTGAAATGGCTGTATAATGGCTCTGCCACACAGACTCTGTGTCTGCTCTGTGTACATTTAATGATTTTAAGAACAAAGATAATTGCAGAGGTGGAAGGAGCACTGTAACGGCAAGTTATTTTTAGTAATCCGTACCGATTTCCTCAGGGTTCCTCATGTAATCCGTAACTAATCCGTAGGGTATATTTACCCTACGGATTACCTCTGAATTTCGAGCCCTGTACTTATCCCAAACCAGAACCGTAATCTAAGCCCTACGCTTACCACTATAAACCTAACCATAACTCACTTCCTAACCCTAGCTAACCCTGGCTGAGAGGGTCTATGTCCCCCAGGGTACTGCTGGAACGTACCCTGGTACTATCTAATATGCCGGACCGTACCTCACCTACTCCACTAACGAGTCTAGGGAGTCGCCTACGCCTACTCCCTAACCCTAACCCTAATCCTAACCCTAACCCTAACCTAACCAATCATCAAATAGTGACCAGGTACGTTCCGGCCGCGTACCGGCTGGGGACATAGCCCTATGAGCCTAACCTTGACCTAACCCTAACCCAATGCAGCATGACGGATTTAGTGTTGTCACTAGGGCTGTAACGATACAAAAGCCTTCTCGATTCGATCCGGTTCTCGATATTAGCCTCTCGATTCGATTCCCAAAATATTGAAAATGGTCATCTTATTTTTAATTTTCATTATTTTTCAATAATAAATTATTAGAAAATGCCAATGAATACTAGATGGTGAATAGACTAGAGAGTCTAGAGAGTATATATCATAGAGATGTATACTATTACTATTTATACATCTCTATGGTATATTACACTGCACAGTCGCTGAGTAAAATTGGTGAGTAACACTCCATAGTATATAGCGTAGTGCCGCCATCTATTGGAGGAAAAAAGTGGTATCGAAGTGGAATCGAAAATACGGGGAAAAATATCGAGGATCGGATCGAGGGAAGAGAATCGCGATCCGATTCGATTTTGGTGGATCGTTACAGCCCTAGTTATCACGCAATATACCCTCGATGGTATTTTTTGGAAGTCGGCTGAGCTCATGCAACTAGATATACTCTGACTTAAGCTGGGATCATGGGTTTACTCTGTCGACTTCATGCTGGCAAATTGTGGAATTGGAGCAATTTCCCAAGCCTTATCAACGGTTCTATGAGCAGCTTTTACGTTATCGACTGCGAGTCGGCAAACGTTTCAACATTTGACCCTCAGTGTGCGCGAGGGGCGACGTGGATATGCGCACTTTTTCATGTATTAATTCGCGCCAGCGTGGCGCCGATAACAAAAACGTGCTCTCGGGCCATCCTTAAAAAATTATATGTTTGCTGTCCTCTGACCGACCCACGAAAATAGCCGCGACCCAAAAGTTTTTTTTGACATTTTGGGTTCCTTTTTTTTTACGTTCCTCATAGTTAAGACTGAAACACAAAGCATGTGTGGCAAACATGAGGACAGACTTAAAATAACTATTATGCCTCACACACACAAAAGAAGACCTACCTACCTACCCACCAAAAAAATCATGGCCGGCCGGCCGGGTCGGGGGACAGCAAACATAGAATTTTTTAAGGATGGCCTTGCCTGGGTGGGGAGGCACAGGCACTTGAAGCGTTTCAATAAAATATAATGCTAACTAAATACGAAATCTATTTACTACGAAATTGTTAATGTTTCTAGTGTAGCGAATTTTGTGTGCAATAGATGGCGCCACGCGACTGTTTGGCGTGCACACGCGTTAGCGTATGCTAGCCTAGCTAGCTAGCCTGGCGTTCCAAAAGGGGCGTGGCCTGTCACACTCATTGTGTCGCCAGCGAATGGTAG